CTAAACCCTAAACCCTAACAACTCATCAGGCTAGCCTTGGTCCTCCATAGGCGTGAGTGTACATACTCGAGCTCTGTTGCCGGCTCCGGGGAAGCTTTCGCTTTGGGTGCCGACTTGGCTTTCACTTTGGCGGCTGCTTTGGGTGCTGGGGCTTCTGCTACAGGTGCTGTGGGTTCTGCTGCAGGTGCTGCGGGTTGTGCCACAGGGGCCGCCTGCTCGGCGGGTTCATCACCCACCTGCTTCTTTCCCCGGCCATGACGTCCCCGTCCTCTGCCCCTGCCCTTGCCCGTGCCCTTTTCCAGCTGGTCTTCCAGCTTGCTCACGACTTTGGCTGCTGCTTCAAGCCTCGCCGCCTCTCTCACCTGTGACCACGTACAGTAATGAGATATGGGATGCGAAAACCCACCCGAAAACCTATACCCCTCTGCACCTGCTTCTGAGCCTCCACTACATCCATAGGCTCCTTCAGATTCTCATCGATCTGTGCTTTGATGCCAGGCAGCACATCATCTGGCAGCTGGGGCTTCACAGCTTGGATCGGAGGCCGCATGGCCTGCCAAAACAAGTCTAGGGTTCGATATAATTATTACCCTATTAAAAGCAGTCATGATCACGTACAAGCGCATTAAGGGAACGGAGGCCTTGTCCGCCTGTCTGTTGTTGTTGCTTGGCGCTATCTTTTCCGGGCTGTCGAACATCTGCAGCTGTGTCTCGAGAGTCGAAGGGTCGATCACAGGTGCCGGTACCTGAGCGAGGCGTGTTTAATGTGGAGGATGGAATCTAGAGCTAGATCTTGAAATAAATTACGTACTATGTTCCAGCGAGAGTCCTTCATTGCCACTTTTGGTGCATTTGTCGGGGTCGGCTCCTTCATGAGAGCGAGGGTTTCAAGTTCAATCGTACAATTAGTTTTATGGCTACTAGCTTGTATCCTCGGCGGGCTCTCCAAGCAGATCGATTTCCATCTCGCTTTCGGAAGGTGGCACAGAACTCCCGGGGGATTCCGGGTCCTGGAGCAAAATTCGAAGCATTACACAAACTCCCAGGGCTGCAACCCAACCAGACAAATAATCGAACGTCGCCGTCCTGCATCAGTGCCTCGTTCAGGTTGGCCTCGATGACGTTGTCGACATCAGTGCCTGATTGGGTGCAAGGTTTAGCTTCTTAATCCTAGACTGTAACCCGAAACCCTAGATCGGGAGCTCGAGCGAGGTGCTAGCTGCTAAAATCTAATTAGGCTTCAACTGCCCTAACCTCCTATAGATCTATAATATATATATATATATATATATGTATGTATATATATATATATCTCTTATTACTATGATTATTCTTATTCTTATCATTCTAAGCCCCCAAACCCAAGCCTTCAACCTTCAATCCGGGATTGTAAAATCAAACCCACACTACTAAAACCCTAAGCCAAACTGAAGCCCACTAAAGTCTGAACTGAGGCCGTATATATTCGAACACCCGAAGCCCCAGACATGCAAGCTTGGAACCGAGCGAGGTGCTATAGATACTGGCTCCAGAGAATTATTATTAGTATATGTGACAGTTCACATCGCAGCATGCATAGTTTATGTACTAGAACGAGCTAGATCCCTTATTATATAAAAAGCTTAGCATTCAAACCCCTAGCCGCTGAAGTACTCGGAACCGCACTAATGTTGACGCATGCCATGCCGAGGCAAGATTCAAGATGTTTCCGCATGCCAGGCCAACACAATCTCAAATTCGTGGTTCAGCAGATAGAGCCGCGCGTGCAAGCGAATGCCAGCGACAACATGCCATCTTAGATCATTGTGCAAGATGTGACCGCTCGCAGTCTCACACACAGTACATTCTTAATTTACTGGGTTACGGGTATTAGCAGTAGTAGTAGTAGTAGTAGTAGTAGTAGCAGTAGTAGTAGTAGTAGTAGTAGCAGTAGTAGTACTAGTACTAGTAGTAATAGTATTAATAGTAGTGTAGTATACGTAGCAGTAGTAGTAATAGTGGTAGTAGTAGTACTACTACTACTACTAGTAGTCGTCCCAGAGTACAGAAACCCTATAAAGCCCACGACCCTGCCCAAACCCGAGCATTCGACCTATTAAGACTCCAAAACCTGCAGCTCCAGGCCCATGAATTCGGAACCACATCTACAAACATATAGTGCTATGTAATAATTTCCCCGACTACCCTGATACTACTAAGCTAGGAACGGAGAGAAATCACATGCAACAGGCCTTGCTCAGCTCCTGCATTCGACCTAGAATCCTAAACTTAAGTTAAACGGCCCCGAAGCAACCCTAAAACCCCAAAACCAGCAGCTCCAGGCCCTAATGAATTAATTCGGAACTAAATCTACAAACTATAGTGTTATTTTATATTATACGGGGCTATCCCCGACTGCTACATTCGACCTAGAAACCTAAACTTAATCAATCGCACCCCAAGTAACCCTAAAACCCCAAAACCAGCAGCTCCAGGCCCTAATGAATTAATTCGGAACTAAATCTACAAACTATATATAGTATTTATTTCATATTATACTATCCCCGGCTGTTACATTCGAGCTAGAAACCTAAACTTAATCAATCGCACCCCATGTAACCCTAAAACCCCAAAACCAGCAGCTCCAGGCCCTCTAATAACGGAACCAAATCTACAAACGATAGTGCTATTAGAATATCCCCGACTGCCGTAGCTAGCATAATTAGCACGGAGAGAAAACACATGCAGCAGGCCTTGCTCAGCTCCTTCCAAACAAGCCCTCACGATCTCCTTCAACATATTCACCTGGGGCCGCCTCAGTGAAAACCCGAATATATTGGTTCGAAAATAAGTCTAGATAGCGTGCTTCACGACAAAGTGCAGTATAGCCGCCGGCTACCAGTCGAGCGTCTGGTCAAAAGAAGTGCGTGGATCGCCATCGCACGCATCGTGCCCGCCTCCATCGCTGCCCAGTCCTTCGAGTTCATGGCTAGCACACTACTTGTAAAATGTTATAATTATAGCACAACTCCTTGATCAGCTTGCGCTTCGTCCCCATTGGGAACAGTGCGTATCGCTGGCAAAGTATGGTGAGCACACCCTGCAGCGCACAAGCCACACTAGACAGCTAATAGCGCTAGGGGAATATCCGAAGGGCCTTGTGAATACGGAACTTCGGCACACGAGCTTGGCACGTAGCGATGTAGCCAGCGAGGAAGGTGTAGTGGCGTTCCACCTACAGTGCGTAGTGATAGCGACAGCGATCGAAGAAAAACTTTAAGTTTAAGTTTGTAATTTGCAATATTTGAACCAAAAAGCCATCTTCACACTGTCCGGACCTTCATCCGGAACCTTGAAAAGGTTCTTGGCCTCAGCTGAACCCAGAGCTTTGGAACGGCCGTGCATATATTTAGGATTAACTACATCAAGCCACCTTCGAAGTTCGAATCTCCGGCAATGTCGCCGGATTTTCCGTGAGCCAGGAATTCAAGAAATCCTCATGCGCAGGCAAATAAATTTAAGGGTTCTCGGCCCAGACAATCATCCATAGCCCTAGAGCTACTTAAAATAAGTCGTAAACCCCTGCCCGCAAAAAGAGCCTAGGGTTTAGGGGTATTAGCTGCAGGGCAACAAGCAATCCCACACTGCTTCCGCTGTATTTGAGTTGTCTTTTATGTGTTGGCCAAGCCACTTCAAGCAAAAATTTGTGCTCGAGGTCAGCCTCCGTGGTCGGCATGACGGCCTAAGCTTAAAATCGTATATTTTTGGAATAGTAGTAGAAGTATTATAGCCGAGTGTCCAGCCCGGCGGTGCTCGGCCCAGCAGCAATATACGTATTTCAGCTTAAATGCTGCACACATATACACGTGATGCATCATACATCCAATGCACATGCCTAGTCGAATGCCACGGGTCATGAGACTGCATCGATCTGATATGTGCGGGTCTTGATGCCTGCAACCACTGGTCGATTGGAGGGCGAGGGGGATCGGTCATCAGACTCTCGCAGGGTCTGGATTCGACCTGATCGGCAACTATAAGAGTTAGCATACACATATATGATCACACCGGCATCCAACAACTCAGCTGCTGGCATCGTGCTGTCGCTCTGTTCATAGCACATGCACAGCTTTCGCACACGAATGGACATGGCTTGAAGGGTTCTGGGGGCTCGATAGTTTCGGGAATAGGAATTAGGGGTTAAGGTTCTCGGTCAGGGTATATTTGTTGGACGATGCTCGGAAGTTTAGGGCTAAGGGCTTAGGGAGTTTAGGGTTTAGGGTTTAGGGCTTAGGGTTTAGGTAGGGATTAAGGTTCTCGGTCAGGGTATATTTATTGGACGATGCTCGGAAACCCTGGTAATGCGTCTCAAGAAAGTGCTTCCATATAAACCAAAAGTTGCTTGGTCGCTGAACTTCCAGGGCAACTTGACCCACACAAGCTTGCGAATGGAGCGAGATTTCACAGAACCACCATCGATTCGCGTAATGCTCGCACAAAACATGGTCATTTGGAATGGATTCAGCGGAAACCCCACCCATTAGCGTAACGCTCACAAAAAACATGGTCATAGCCAATGATCACAGATTTCGCTGACATTGCAATGTTTGCAAATTTTGCTGACATGGATCCCCAGGGTATGGTTGACCAAAAAAAGAACTGTAATGGAGACTATAGGCGGGTTTGCATTTGATGCTGGGTTATACGGGTTTCTTCGCGGTTGTGGTTGCCTCTGGTTCCAGTGACCCAGAGTTGAAGGGCTTGGACCAGTCACAACCTGCTACTGTTGATGATATACAGCCTGCATTACCTTAAAGGAGGGAATTATGGTATATTCCTTATTATATGTAATGCAGGATTTATACCATCAACCGTACGTTGTAGGGATTGAGGCTGAAGGTAGGGTCCTGGAATTGCTGTAGAACGAGATTTCAGGGTAAGTATTTGCAGAAGTGAACGCGCATTCGGCGTACTTGGACAAGTACTTTTGCTGTTGGGAAAAGGATGCAGAACACGTGATGAGATGGCTCTACCCATGGTTCCTTTTTGGGATTACCTTCTAGGATCCTACATAAATAACCACAAAAAAGGAACTACTATGGAGCCTCTGGGTGCCGCTCTGTACACTATACCCCATAGTTGCCTTATAGGATCCAAAATACAAGAACCACAAAAAAGGGAACTGCTGTGGAGCCTAAACCCTAAACCCTAAACCCTAAACCCTAAACCCTAAATCCTAAACCCTAAACCCCTTTGGGTAGGGCCCTGTACCAAAAAACCCTACAACCGAAGAAGAAAGGCTTCGGGTTCACAAGACCTTCTGCTTCAAATGTAGTTTAGGGTTTTCGGGTTTTAGGGTTTAGGGTTTTAGGGTTTTAGGGCTTAAGGGGTTTCAGGGTTCAGGGTTTAGGGCTTTGGGCCAAGAATTTCAAAACAGGATGCACTCTGAAGAGCGGAAAGTAATCAAGCTCAAGCGCTCAAAGTGATGCCCTTGCCTTGCGGAAACATGTTTCCTCACAATCGCTTCCCTGAGCTGCCGTGACAGCCCCTAACCCCGAAACAACAGATCATAAACTCTATTTAGAGGGCACACATGAAGAAGACTCTAAATAAGAGTCAACAGTTGCCGTAAGCGCCATTCTACATAGAGCAGAGCCTACGAAGTCGACCCGTCTTCCATGGTTAGGGTTTCCAGATCGCGAACCCCGAAATTCCAAATCCTAAACCCTAACACTAGACCCCGATGCCTCCACGACAGGAACCACAA